ATCAACTTCTTATTCATTTCTGAAATTAGTACCACTCAGACTTTAACCATTATGTCAGACAATCATCTACCTGCAGGGTTTAACATAACGTTCCTTCCTGAGCTCATTTCGGAGACGTCATTAATCCAGCACACTAGAACATAGTGACCGTAAATAATTTATAATAGCACATCATATAATTATTCTTACTTACCAAAATACCTCGTATGTCATCCTATTAAAAGGAATCACTTGGTAAATCAAATAAATAAGAAATAAAATTATATGCCTATTTTATATTATCTTACAGCTTAAGAGAACGCATCAATCACTGAAGGTCTAGGTTACGACAACGGTCAGTGAGTCTCATATCCTTATCCTTCCGTGGTCCTGTTCAACACTTAACATAAGTGCTAGTGTAATCCTTCAGTCAAAGACCAACTGAATCAAGAATACACTACAATCTTTTTCCAAGTGGGGTCTCACTGTCAGTCTAGACTGTGAATGAATAGTTTAGTCTTATAAGGAACCGATAGGTGATCTTTCTGTTCGAAACTCTTCGAACCACACTACCTCAATATAAGACATGGAGTATGTATTGCATAAATAAATAAACTGCAAACATATGTACTTTGACCGAAACATGATGGCCAGATCAAAATGGAATTGATAGAAACTGCAAAGCATCGCTTTTACAGCATACCTCTAACAATCTCCCACTTATGCTTTATAAGCTCATGGCTAAACAAAATAACCACAATTTCTTTCAACCTAATTCTCAAAGACTAGTCTACTATGTCGCCCTACTTGGCAACAACGACTTCTCCTCGTTCAACGATTTTTCGTATCGGGTGGTACTTGCGCTCTATGTGTTTATCGCTTTATGAGTCCGTGGCTCCTTCGAATTTGCTACTGCTCCGCTGTTTTCACAGAACACTGTGATCGCAGCGGGCAAACTCGGTACCACATCAAGGTCGAGGAGAAAATTCCTGAGCCAGACAACTTCTTTCGCTGCCTCTGAGGCTGCTACATACTCAGCTCCCATGGTTGAGTCCGCCACCATTTCTGCTTGACACTCCTCCATACTATGGCTCCTCCTCCTAATGTATACACAAACCCTGAGGCCGACTTGCTTTTGTCTCGGTCTGCCTGGAAGTCAGAATTGGTGTAACCCAACGGAAGCAATTCATCTGCCTGGTAAATCAACATGTACTCCTTAGTCCTACGTAAGTACTTGAGTATATGCTTTACCGCAGACCAATGTTCCGGTCCCAGTTTACTCTGATATCTTGCTATCATGCCCACGGCATAACAAATATCAGGTCGCGTGCACAACATAGCATACATGAGGCTTCCTACTGCCGATGCATAAGGAACTGCCTTCATGTCCTCTATCTCTTGAGGCGTCTTCGGGAACATCCTCTTAGATAGAGGTATTCCATGCCGAAAGGGTAAATCCTCTTTCTTGGAATCCCGTATGTTGAAACGCTTTAGGACAGTGTCTATGTATGTGGATTGGGATAGACACAACTTTCTCTTCTCTCGGTCGCGAATGACCTTGATTCCGAGAACATGTCCTACTTCACCCAAATCCTTCATATCAAACTGCTTGGATAGCCATACCTTTACGTCTGATAACATATTCACACTGTTTCCAATGAGAAGAATATCATCCAGGTACAACACTTGAAACACCACCACATTTCTATCACTTTTCTTGTTCACACAGTGCTCATCCGGACATTGGGTAAATCTAAACGACTGGACAACCTCGTCAAAATGGATGTTCCAAGACCTCGAAGCCTGCTTTAGCCCATAAATGGACCTCTTCAGCTTGCAGACCAGATGCTCTTGGCCCTTTGCAATGAATCCTTCTGGTTACTGCATATAGATGTCCTCGTCCAAATTCCCGTTAAGGAAAGCGGTCTTAACATCCATTTGCCAAATCTCATAATCCAAATGAGCGGCGACAGCCAAGAGAATCTTGATGGATTTGAGCATGGCTACCGAGTGTGGACGTCTACGGTTCAAACATTCACAAGATGAGGGATAAATCCCATTAGCTTAACATACTGCCGAGCAATACTTAACTAATAGTCGGTTTCATCTTTTGGCCAGCGCAATTAACTTTATAAAAGAATAAAAACGACCTTGTCCTTTGGGACTATCGTAATTATTTGCACTTTAAGCGTAACCCATTAATTGGTACTAAGTTTACTACCAAAATTATACGTCCACCTTTGGGTGACCCGTACGCTTTTGAAATAGCTCACTATAACAATCCCGAAGGAGATTCGTCCTTATGAACTGTGAAATAAAACGTCCTTTGGGCTCGAATTAAATCACTTCACTGACAAACCTATAATGGAGGCCTTGGATGTAATTAATTTCAACCCATTACACACTTAATATAATTTTTATTTTATGGGATTTTGTTAACATGTTTTTATTTGCACATAAGCAATCACGTAAAACATGCATGATTAATGAGCAATAATAAACTAAGAACTATAATCCAACTATCATGGCCTTTAATCAATCTCTAATGTTACGGAGAAAACACAGTCATGTCCTTGTTGAGTGTGTCCTCCGTTTCAGGTATTGGAACTCCTCTTTCGCAGTGACTCCCACTGAATTGGTCGTCTCCGGGAAAGTCACCATTGGATCATCACCATGGCATCCGTGTACGTGTTTATGCCGCGCCCCGTCAAGGTTGGTCCACGCCCGTCGGATCAATAACGAATAATATAAACAAAAATTACATAATTAATCCTATGACCCACGCAGGAGCTGTACACGAGTTTCTATGAAAGCAATAAACTATGCGGTGTCCCACCGCGCGAATAATTTATTACAAGCATTCACCAATCCAAAATTCCTTGACATGTCCAAGGCTTTAAAAACAACATACATTCAACATGAATTAAAATCCATACATACGGGCCACAATAGTCGGATTCGACAACCTGCAAAAACCTATTGCAATTTCTAATCTACTATGCCGCTGCGTCTGTACGCACATAATTCATGTAGACATGCAAAGTCCAAAATTCAAATTGTGCACGAGTTTGCATTAAACCTGGGCTCTGATACCAGTTGTTGGGTTCTGTTAGGAACGTCAAACAACATGCACCGTATTGAACTTTATCGAAATAAATCCTAACGCAGCGGAATCTATAGTTATGATATGGACGTTTACCTTTTAAAATTTTTACCGACTCTGAGACGATGTAGAGTACCGTTGATGAATTTCGTCTGATCACCACAACCTAATGAGCGGATAGGTTTGGCCTTTAGTCGACTCTAATCGACACATCAAACGGGGTTCGGTCGATCAGCACGGGGGTCTCGGCATCGGGTTGCAACGACAGCTTGTGCGCGTCGGGCGCGGTCACTTGCAACGTGCGTGGACTGCTGGCGGGGCGTGTCGGGCGCTGTGCGTGACGCGCGGTGCGCTTCTCCTATGCCGAGGTGGACCGGCGCTGACACGTGGACGCACGCGGGCGTGCAGTTCGCGTCTCTTGGGCGCACAAAGAATAGCGCGCGCGTGTTGGCGAACGCTGGGAGCACGGGCGGACGTCGACTGGTAGCGCGGGTGGACGACGAGCAGGCAGGTGGACGCTGGAAGCTCACGGGCATCGACTGGGCGTTGCTGGGCGTCGCTGGCAAGGCCTGGGCGATACGCGACTGCTTGCGGTAGCGGGCGGTTGCGATCTGCTAGGCTCGGGCTACGACTGGCGGCAGTTGGCGATTTCCGGTGGTGGCTCACGGCGGCGATTGGCAGCGATCGGCGGCGATGAGATGGTGATGATGACCGGAAAATATAAGTATAAAGGCTCGAATAAATTGTACCCAAAAGCCTTCTAACGGATTACCTAAACACCTACTTCAATTAAACTTGGTGGAGCGTTTAATCGAATCTCCCTAACTCTCGAACAATGTTATTCTCACGTGTATGTAGATGAGAAAAGTCGGATGGCAGACCGAACGGATGGCAGTAAGAAAAGAAAGGGAACCGGATGCCCCTGGGATCGTACCGCTGCCGAACGGATGGGAGAGAATAAGTGAGATCTGTTTAATCATTACGAGAGCCAGCCGTACTGCGCGCATTAAATGCTGAGATACAGGAAAATCTCTTATCCGACGGCAAAGGAAAAATAGGGACGCGTGGCGCGATCCGGACGAGTCTCAGATATTGGGAAAAGATTACCAAGTACAATTAGCATTAAATGTTGAATGACTAATATCTAAAAATATCCTGCAAAAGGAAATGTAAAAATCCCCAAGAGGGAAATGTAAAGTCCCTAAACTTCCTATAAAAGGGAGGGGAGGACATCATTTAATGCAATGAGTAAATGCTCTCATTAATTACTCAATAAGTCACGGATAGACTGAGCATTCAGACCAGTAAAATAAAACCGAATCACAAACACAAATACTATTCGTGCAGACCGAACAGAGTACACATCTTAGTGTACAGTTCGAACACATTGTTGGTCATTTTTAGATATCAACAATTGGCGCTAGAGGAAGGGCTATTCCAGCATGTCAAAGACAATTGCATCATCATCAAGCCAGAGTCGCCGGCGAGACTCACCAGAAGAAAGGGAAGATCGGCGAAACAACCCAACCACGAGGACGGACTATTCAGCCTTTTTCAAAGACCCAAACTTTGTTAAGGGAATATCAAACCTGATAACACAGATCCGGCCCTCTACGTCTCAAGCACCCAAAACCCCAGCCAAAAAAGACCTTACCAACACCCTCAAAGGCAAGGAAACAAACGTTCGCGAAGAAACCACCCGATCGCCCGGGAGCACGAAGGAAAAATCCACCACCCGGACGGAAAATGAACAGACGGACGAAAGTCGCTTGGTCACAGATACTCGAACCCGAAACACCACCCGGTCGGTTTTCAAACGGCCGGGAAAAAACGTGGTCGATGACGACTTGAGGAGAACATTGACCAGAAGGCGAACGACTCAAGCCGAAGAAGACAAAATGAAGAGCCTCCAAAGTAGAATAGCCGAACTCGAAGCTCGGCGTTCGGCCCAAAAACGACTAGTTTCCACCGAACAGGATCTGACGGAAGTCCCTCTCAAACGAGCCATGACAGCCTCAAGGGCACGAACGGAATCCAACCCAGCCGAACCCGAATCACCCCTAACATTTGATATTTTGCAGGAACAGCTGCCCGAGAAGATCAAGATCCCGCAGATCGGATTTTATGACGGAACATCTGAACCGGACACCCACCTAGGATTATATACGTCATGGATAGACCTGCACGGAGCACCGGACGCCCTCCGCTGTCGGATGTTCTCATTAACTCTGGAAGAAAAAGCACAAAGATGGTACCATTCGCTCGCCCCACATTCGATCGCTAAGTGGTCACAATTAAAGTCCATGTTCCGAACCCACTTCATCGGATCCCAGGCGTGCCGAATTCCCAAAGAATCGATCACTCACATTATCCAGGGAGCAGACGAGAGTTTGAAGAATTACATCACTCGTTTCAATGAACGGGTACAAAACATGGAACCGTGTCATCAGGAGACCCTGCTCGTTTTGGCATATTCAGGACTGAGACCAAACTCGATGTTCAAATGGACCCTCTGCCAGAACAAACCTCAGACGTATCACGAATTTTTGATGAAAGCTCAACAACATATCATGGCAAAAGAAAACATGTCCGTCCCGTCGTTCCCAGCCCTGAACGAGCAAATCGCCAAAGAAAAGGAGTCCCGACCGAACAAGGAGTTTGTGAAGGACGGAAGAAGCTCCCAATTCCGAGCCATGCAGAGGAAACATCACGAGGAACTCACGAACAGCTACCAGGGGGTGTATTCGGCCGGCGCGGCCGTAGTGTATGAAGAGTTGAAGAACAAGGGGATCATCCCAGACCCCAGACCGATCAGGGCCGATGAAGAAAATCTAGACAAAAGCCGATATTGCGCTTACCACAAAGTGCATGGCCACAATACCGACCAGTGTCGGAACTTAACATCTGCCTTGTTGAAACTAATTGATGATCCGCAGGTAAGGAGGTTCACTAGGATGGATGCAGGCAACCGGAGGCCAAGAAACGATGAACGAATGAACCCAGGAGACGAGCCCGATTTCGGACTGAATCCCCGGAGAGCGAACGAACACCACAATGAAATATTGACGATCAGTCAGGAGCAACGAGGCGAGACGAGCGCATCCGGGGGAAGGAAAAGGACAGCGTCCAGATGAGACGAGGAGCATTCGGTTCACATCCCAATCCGAAGAAGCGGACCGCCCACAAGGGTCAATACGAGCCGGGAAAGTTCGAGCATGTCAAGAAGACAGGTCAAGGCATACGTCCGAAAAGCATACAACACAGGACACCAAGTCAGCCGAGCAGAGGTCAACCGACACATCCCCATGCCCATAAATCTAATAATGTTTTCGGATGAAGATTCTCTCCCGTTTGATAATCCACACTCAGATGCGCTCGTAATCACAGCCCCCATTTTCCGAATCCCAGTCCACCGAATCATGGCGGACACGGGGGCGTACTCAAGTATCTTATACTAGACCGCATTCCTTAAAATGGGGATAGACCAAAGCGAACTGCGCCCATGCAACGACCGCATAACTGGATTCAACGGACAAGCAACCATTCCTGAAGGAGAAATCATATTACCAATTGAGCTCGGGGATTCGGGAGCAAACGGACGCATGATCATGGAAACTTTCAAAGTGGTGAAAACGGCCAGCGAGTACAACGCCATCCTCGGGCGAACGGCCTTATACAAGCTGAAGGCGGCCGTATCAATCTTCCACTATTCGATCAAATTCCCAACTGAGAATGGCATGGGAGTCCACTACGGCAACCAAAGGGAAGCAAGGGAGTGCATCATGGCGATCCCGTCATTAGAAATACACTCGGTCATGATGGCGAACGAGGAGGAGAAACTGATCGACGAACCAGTTGCAGAGCCCAAGCGGTCAGACGAGCAGGAAGTTTCGTCTGAACGACCAGACAACAGTGTGGCCAAAGGATACACGAACGGACGAAAGAGGATAAGGGAAGAACCGATCGAGGGCCCAAAATAGGAAGACAAGTACCCTATGCCGATGTCATCAAGCGCAAACACACTTTCACCCCCGAGAGACGGACAGGGCGAAAAAGAATCGGAGGCTGATCAATCCACCCAATAGGAGAACGATCCGTGCAAAGAGGAGGATCGAACGATAGACCGGGGACGCCGACCAGGGAAGGAACCAATCGAAGAAAAAGACGAACTGGACCCCCGAGATCAATTTAAAGGAAAGAAACCCGAACGGGCCGAACCAAGCGAAGACATAGAGACGATCTATCTTGATGAACCAGCCTGCACCAAGTCATTGCGCATCGGACGCAACATGGGCGAACCCATCCGGTCTAGGTTAATTACTTTTCTAATCGAAAACGCAGATGTCTTCGCCTGGACGCATGAAGATATGGTGGGGATCGATCCAAACCTAGCATGCCATAGCCTTCGGGTTGACCGAATGGTAAAGCCAATCGTGCAGAAAAGAAGGAAATTGGGACCAGAACGACAAGGAGCGCTCGAGGGGGAAGTAATAAAGCTGATTGACAACAGGTTCGTTCGCGAAGCCAAGTACCCAGTTTGTGTATCCAATCCGGTCCTGGTAAAGAAGAGCAGTGGAACGTGGCGACTATGCGTCGACTTCAGCGATCTCAATCGGGCCTGCCCCAAAGACAGTTATCCGTTGCCCATCATCGATTACATGGTGGACGCGACGTCCGGACACGAACTCATGAGCTTCATGGACGCCTATTCGGGATATCACCAGATCCCGATGGACCCGAACGATGAGGAGCACACATCTTTCTATTCGGCCAGAGGACTCTATTGCTACACCATGATGCCATTCGGTCTCAAGAATGTCGGGGAAACCTATCAGAGGCTCGTGAATAAGATGTTTGCAGATCAAATCGGACGAACTATGGAAGTTTACGTGGATGATATGCTTGTTAAATCTGTTTTTGCGAACGATCATGTGTCACATCTTAATGAAATGTTTTCTATTTTGCGTGATTACTCCATGGTGTTAAATCCCAAAAAATGTACATTCGGGGTAGGTTCGGGTAAGTTTTTAGGATACATAGTTAGTCAAAGGGGAATCGAAGCGAACCCCGACAAGATTAAAGCAATACTCGAACTAAAACCCCCTAGGTCGATAAGAGAAACGCAAAGTCTAACAGGTAGATTAGCGGCTTTAAGCCGATTCATATCAAAGTCCACGGACAAATGTAAGCCCTTCTTCGAGGCTATTAAAAAGAATAATAAATTCAAATGGACGGACGAATGCCAACACGCGCTGGACAACATCAAGGAGTCACGTTCGGCCCCCGGTCCTCCAAAAGCCAAACCCTGGAGAGATGCTGTATCTATATCTCGGAGTTACCCCGACCGCGATAAGCGCCGTACTCGTTCGGGAAGAGAATTTGAATCAACATTCGATCTATTACACAAGCAAGGCATTACATGAAGCTGAGGTCCGTTACCCACAGATCGAGAAGTTAATCTTCGCCCTAGTGACGGCTTCGAGGAAACTCAGGCCGTATTTTCTTGAACACCGGGTGACCGTCTTGTCAGCCTATCCTATTCGACAAATTCTCCACAAGCCTGATACGTCGGGACGAATGATCAAGTGGGCCGTAGAGCTTGGGCAGTTCGATCTCCAATATAAACCACGGACGGCGATAAAAGGACAAGCATTGTCCGACTTCATAGCTGAGTTCACAACGGGAGCCGAACCAGTTCAAACTACAGAAACTTGGGAGATGTATATAGACAGATCGGCCACAATCGAAGGGTCTGGGGGAGGAGTCGTGATCGTCAGCCCCCAAAGAAAGCTATATTGCCATTCGGTCCGGTACCTGTTTGCTGCGACCAATAACGAGTCAGAATATGAGGCACTATTATCCGGCCTGGACTTGGCCCACTCGATGAACATCATGAATTTAAAAGCATACTCTGACTCAATGTTGTTAGTAAAGCAAATCTCAGGGGAGTTCGAGACAAAAGAAGCCCGCCTGGTGCCATATTTACACCTAGCTCGAAAGAAGATAGCGCGAGCAAACATTCAACTCGTGCACGTTCCCCGGTCAGAGAATGCCCAGGCGGACGCGCTCGCACGGTTGGCATCCAGCAGAGGAACCGATGAAATCGAGTACATTTACACTCGCCACCAGGAGAGGCCGGCCGTTCAGGTCGAGCACATCATGAGGATTGAGGAATCGGTCGGTGCCACAACATCCGGATGGATGGATCCTATCCGATCGTATTTGGAGAAGGGAGAACTCCCCGCAGACCTAAAGGATGCTCGGTCATTAAGGATCCGAGCAGCAAGATACACGATCATGGCAGGAACGTTATACAAGAGGGGCTATTCGAATCCATTGCTCAAATGTGTGGACGACGAAGAAGCCGAACGAGTCATGAGAGAAGTCCACGAGGGCGTATGCGGAAACCATTCGGGGGGACGAGCGTTAGCGCATTAAATACTACGACAGGGGTATTACTGGCCCACGCTGAAAAGGGACGCGTTCAACCTAGTCAGGAGGTGTGTTAAGTGCCAAACGTTTGCCGATTTGGTATTCCTCATTCTGTGGTAACTGATAACGGACGACAGTTTGAGGGAAATAAATTCGACACGTTTTGTGAAGAGCTGGGGATTCGACATTATTTCTCTACCCCTTACCATCCGCAGTCAAATGGGCAAGTAGAGGCGGTTAACAAAATTATTAAACAAGGTTTGAAGGTATGACTGGAAAGCTCGAAAGGGGCCTGGCCGGAGGAGCTCCCGAACGTCTTGTGGTCATACCGGACCACACCAAGATCGGCGACGGGAGAAACACCGTTCTCGTTAGCATATGGGGCAGAGGCAATGGTCCCGGTCGAAATCGGGTCTGAAACGTATCAAGTAAAGAATTTCGAAGAGGAAGCGAATAGCGAGGGATTGCGAACGGGTTTGGATTTAATAGAAGAAGCACGAACGCAAGCCGAACTAAAGAACGCAGCATACAAACGGGTGACCGAAAGACACTTCAACGCAAGAGTCAATTCTCGTCTCTACCGAGCGGGAGAACTAGTTTTGAAGAGAGTGACGGGACCGGATCCGGGTCCCCTAAAACCAAAATGGAAAGGACCGTATCAAGTCGACGCCGTACTTAAGAATGGGGCCTACCGATTGAAGTACTTAGACGGAACCCCGCTGATGTATCCCTGGAATGCCATGTATTTGAAGAAGTATTATCAATAAAGAGTGTTCTCGTCTGATCAAAAATAAAATGACCCCAAGTAGGGTAACAACCGGACCACTTAAGGTTACCCGGTATCAAATCACTTAAGGTCGTCTGATCAAAAATAAAATGACCCCAAGTAGGGTAACAACCGGACCACTTAAGGTTGCCCGGTATCGGATCACTTAAGGTCGTCCGATCAAAAATCAAAATGACCCCAAGTAGGGTAACAACTGGACCACTTAAGGTTGCCCGGTATCGGACCACTTAAGGTCGTCCGATAAAAAATAAAACGACCCCAAGTAGGGTAACAACCGGACCACTTAAGGTTGCTCGGTATAGGATCACTTAAGGTCGTCCGATCAAAAATGAAATGACCCCAAGTAGGGTAACAACCGGACCACTTAAGGTTGCCCGGTATCGGATCACTTAAGGTCGTCCGATCAAAAATCAAAATGACCCCAAGTAGGGTAACAACCGGACCACTTAAGGTTGCCCGGTATCGGACCACTTAAGGTCGTCCGATCAGAAATAAAACGACTCCAAGTAGGGTAGCGACTTGATCACTTAAAGTTGTCCGATCAAGATTGAAGCGGCATGAAGATATTAAGCGAAGGAAACATAAAATACCACACTTAGTTTATTTTCCATACATAGGGAAATCACACAAATACCCGAACCCTACAGGGAATAAACCATCCCCGGGCTCGGAACACACCAACATTCGGAAATGCAAATTAAATAAGTTGTTCGAAACAGCAAGCAACATACGCAAACATACTTAAAGAAAAAAAAAACAGAAATAGCAACTAGAAAGTGATCGAAAGTCAAACGGGGGGTGGCTGTTCGTTCCCAGCATCCTCATCATTCTCGCTCGTTCCTTCACCTTGACG